AAAAACATTAAGGATAGCTCTAACAAGTAAAACCGATAATAATATGATTAGGAAAAAAGCTTAGACCATGATACTTGATAGATTTTTCCAGCCTTACCTAAAATTTGTCAGATCATACATATTAAAAGCACCAGCCTTACCTAAAATTTGTCAGATCAAATCCTTCGGCTTCGAGTTCGGCTATTGCAGTGAGAGAGTTCTTCCACCTTGCCCCCTTTTCTGGCTCGCCTTCGAAATCTTTATCATCGTTTGCTGCCAGTTCAACCATTTTCGCAAGTTCATCCAGACACCATGTGGAGGTCGCATAGTTTGTTGAAAGAATGATGACTGAAATTTTCGATTCTTCAATTGCTTTGAAGAGTTCCTTTGAAATGGGTTTTCCACTCTTCAGTTGTTCATCATCCCTGAAAGTGTGGATTCCGTTCCGAATCAAAGCCTTGTACAAATGGTCAGTAAAACCTTTTCTAGTGTCAAAACCTCGAAAACTGAGGAACACCTCATATTCCAGTGGACGGGTCGGAGGAGGAGGCAAAGCTGAGGAGGTTTGGGTGGTCATGGGATCAGCCATTGGAGTGACTAAATCAGTAACCAACCCGCTGTTATCTGGTAATGGAAGCTTTTGCAAGGTTCATAAAATTATTTGCAGAACCAAAACTAGCTTGGTAGCTGAGCTGACAGAGTGCAATATAAGACAATAAATACTCACAGCTCAACCTGATTAATTAGTCTATGTAGAATCCAAGATTAGTATTCTTTTAATTAAAAAGATTTGGAACTTTGTAGCCAAACAGCCAAAAGAGCAGCAGGCTTCAGTCATCTTATTTTAAGGGGTGGATTCCATTGCAGAAGGAAACTAAGGACTAAATTCCAGTTATGTACCCCAGTCCAGCCTCTAACTCTGAATTATCATATGATGACAACTAATTATTTATTTTTTTAAGTGAGCTCCTTTGATTTTCTCGTGTAAATACGATCTGTTACTCTTATTTTATGCCAACTTTTTCGATTTCTGGTGTAAAAAAAAATGGTGTGGAACCAGAGAGCAAACAAAAAAAAAATTATGAAAACTGATCGTGTGAAGTGTGAACGATGGACTTTCATTGACTACTTTCATGGACTTCCAGGTTCCAATGCCTTTTCTCAGTCAACAATGGATAGCATAATCATTGCCACTATTTATTAGAGAGAGATCTGAAAATGCTTATATTTTAAAGCAATTTCCCTCCAATTCCATATGGGAAGGATTTTATTGGAGGAAGATTTAACAATGGTAAGGTTTCTCAGACTTTGTTGGTATGTCCATAATTATTTCTTTCTCCAAATATTTGTGAAAAAGAATTCCTGATTCGTAAAACGATCATATAGTATATCCAGTTCATGGTTTCGACATCTAGAACCCTTTTATCTTTTTATCCAAGAGCATAGCTTGGGTGGTTATGATCCTGAAAATTAAGAGCATATTTTGCATTGTACCCGGATTGCGTTTAGGACGGAGGGAGGTGATTTTCGCACTCTCAAAAATACCTCACGCTCTCATCTTTCAATTTTTTTTTTTTTAATCTTTGTAATATATTTATATTAGTTGAATTACCTAGTGTATCTCTAATGATTTTTTTTACTTTCCTCATGTGTTAGTAAACGTGGATGACTTACAGAGTGAAAGTGCATAAGCAACACTGATTGAAAAAAGGACTTTGTATGCGTGCAGCCTGCTACAGCAAATGCATTGAAATTGTTTCTGAATTGAACATCAAATTGGTTTCCGTAGTTGGCTTCATTGCTGATAAGATTTGGTGCCTTTCAACTTTCCTTCTTGTGTATATTTCTACATTTGTAAACCATTGTATTGTTGAGTTGACCTTTGCTGCCTGTTACCTTTCAACTTGTATTTATTTATTTTATTACTATGTAATCATTCCAGCAGAGAAATACATGTTGATAATTTTTCACATATAAAGGTACATCAGGGAAAAACATTAAGGATAGCTCTAACAAGTAAAACCGATAATAATATGATTAGGAAAAAAGCTTAGACCATGATACTTGATAGATTTTTCCAGCCTTACCTAAAATTTGTCAGATCATACATATTAAAAGCACCAGCCTTACCTAAAATTTGTCAGATCAAATCCTTCGGCTTCGAGTTCGGCTATTGCAGTGAGAGAGTTCTTCCACCTTGCCACCTTTTCTGGCTCGCCTTCGAAATCTTTATCATGTTGAGCAAATGCCTTTTTAAAATGATCTCCAGTTTGTTCTCGTACTTCGGATGACGTCACGTTGTAGAACACGGGCAAAATCAATCTGGACTCATCGTTTGCTGCCAGTTCAACCATTTTCGCAAGTTCATCCAGACACCATGTGGAGGTCGCATAGTTTGTTGAAAGAATGATGACTGAAATTTTCGATTCTTCAATTGCTTTGAAGAGTTCCTTTGAAATGGGTTTTCCACTCTTCAGTTGTTCATCATCCCTGAAAGTGTGGATTCCGTTCCGAATCAAAGCCTTGTACAAATGGTCAGTAAAACCTTTTCTAGTGTCAAAACCTCGAAAACTGAGGAACACCTCATATTCCAGTGGACGGGTCGGAGGAGGAGGCAAAGCTGAGGAGGTTTGGGTGGTCATGGGATCAGCCATTGGAGTGACTAAATCAGTAACCAACCCGCTGTTATCTGGTAATGGAAGCTTTTGCAAGGTTCATAAAATTATTTGCAGAACCAAAACTAGCTTGGTAGCTGAGCTGACAGAGTGCAATATAAGACAATAAATACTCACAGCTCAACCTGATTAATTAGTCTATGTAGAATCCAAGATTAGTATTCTTTTAATTAAAAAGATTTGGAACTTTGTAGCCAAACAGCCAAAAGAGCAGCAGGCTTCAGTCATCTTATTTTAAGGGGTGGATTCCATTGCAGAAGGAAACTAAGGACTAAATTCCAGTTATGTACCCCAGTCCAGCCTCTAACTCTGAATTATCATATGATGACAACTAATTATTTATTTTTTTAAGTGAGCTCCTTTGATTTTCTCGTGTAAATACGATCTGTTACTCTTATTTTATGCCAACTTTTTTGATTTCTGGTGTAAAAAAAAAATGGTGTGGAACCTGAGAGCAAACAAAAAAAATATGAAAACTGATCGTGTGAAGTGTGAACGATGGACTTTCATTGACTACTTTCACGGACTTCCTAAGGAGCAGGTGCAAAGGCTTTTATACAGTCAACAATGGATAGCGTAATCATTGCCACTACTTATTAGAGAGAGATCTGAAAATGCTTATATTTTAAAGCAATTTCCCTCCAATTCCATATGGGAAGGATTTTATTGGAGGAAGATTTAACAATGGCAAGGTTCCTCAGACTTTGTTGGTATGTATATAACGATCATATCTTTCTCCAAGCATTTGTGAAAATGAATTCCTGATTCGTAAAACGATCATATAGTATATCCAGTTCATGGTTTCGACATCTAGAAACTTGGGTGGTTAAGAGCATATTTTGCGTTGTACCTGGATTGCGTTTAGAATGGAGGGAGGTGATTTTTGCACTCTCGAAATAACTCATGCTCTAATCTTTCACCATATTATGATGATGCCCAAATTTTGGGCTCGATCGGAAATCAATAGGCTTAAGAAATTGGACAATTCAAGTTCAAAGGCAGTTCGTTCCGAATTGGAGTGGTTGGTGTATTGCATAGTTCTAGCGATTGGATTTCACTCAAAACTCTTCTTCTTTTTTATCTTTTTAATATATTTATATTAGTTGAATTTCTGAGTGTTTCTCTAATGATTTTTTCACTTTCCTCATGTGTTACTAAACGTGGGTGGATGACTTACATGGTGAAAGTGCATAAGCAACACTGATTGAAAAAAGGAAGACTATATATGCATGAAATTTGAAATTCATATGAAATTTCATTTAAATTTGAATTTTGAAATGTATCTGAATTTTGAATTTTGAAATTTATCTGAAATTTGAAACCGAAAATCTTATCCGATTATGAGATATGAATAGTATTAACACGTAGGAACCCAAAAATCTTATCCGAAAATATTGTCCAAATTAATTATTTAAGTAAAAAAATTTGTGAAAAAAACAAAAAAATGAATAGTATTTACCCTTTGCCAGGGCAACTGCTGGAAACCAATATTGCTTTTTGCAAGGGTAGCCACTATTCACATGAATAGTGGCTGCCCTAGCCCCCCCTGCCATAGCAAGAGGCAACTGCTGGAACTTCTGTAATCATGTGAATACAAATAAGGTAAGATACAATTAATGTGGAGTGTAAGGGAACTGCTCTAGATTAGATTAGGCTATAATCTAATCTAGGCTATAATTGTGGTCGACCCACGAAAGGTGGAGTGTAATACAAATAAGGTAAGATACAATTGCTAAAGTAACGGAATTTTATTCCTAACAATGCCTGCCATTAAGTATTGAATCACTAGGAAATTTTGTTCAGCCTGATAGCCGTGATAACAATAACTATAGTGTTTATTCAATTTCAGACGAATTTGGGCACATTTCCAAGTATATGAGATTCGCCCCACATCCTGTAACCTTTGTCCCTGGGCTATCAGGTGTAATTGTAGCTTGGATCAAGCGTTTGGGTCGGAGGGTCGATGATTGCCTTCTCAAGCAAGCAGATGGCAAACTCCACACCTTCTACAACTCCAGCAAATCCAACTAACTCCACCACCTTGACACATTCATACATGGATTTCTGTTTCTGACCTCCCCTTACTTAATTCAGAGAACATCTTTCCTTTAATTTCGGAGGCGCAAAAACTCCACAAAAATTGAAAGTGTATTAAAAAAGTTATGGACTTCAAATGAAATACATATAGTAGTAGAATTTGGTGGATTTCATAGATTCCCCTTTTCAGCCAACACCCTCTCCCCCTCCCCACCATCACCCACCACCACCACAAGCACCACCAGAATCATCAGCACCACCACACAGCCACCACCACCACCACCACCACCACCCAAGTTTTTCACGAATCCATCAATAAAAGTAATAGCATAACATACAAGCATGGTGGATTTATTAGACCCCTTTTCTTGAATGTCATTTTGCTTTGCGTTTGTTATAACTTTTGCATTTCGTGAAAATTATGCCGCATGCCACCGGCATCAAAATCTTTTTTTATCGTATCTATCCAATACAAATTACAATGGGTAATAAATTAGAAAATATCAAAATATTGCATTTACCATGACAATAACTTTTTGGTCGTTCGATCAACATATAATATCCTTGACCTATCCTCCCAGTTGATTATGCTTCTCTCATGTTGAGTGTCCTCAGCAGAATGCATTTGTGGTCGGAATATGAAAGGAGGACAAACTTCGCTCACAGAGCTGTGCTCTGTGCATGTGGCTGCTTTAAGCAGATCCGTTTGCAAACTTGTAGCTCCCAAACTAATCCCATTATGTTTTTCATTTTCTGTATAATCACCAGTTCCGTAGTAAATAGACCGATAGGTTAAGGTGGTGCAATGGGTGATTGTATGGATTAAGCCTTTCAAATCTTCTTTGTATACCAGGCGCATCCCACACAGTTCAACCTCCACACCTCGTGTTCTACATGCAAATAAAGCCTGAATGAAATGACACCGATTCAAACGTTCTGGAAAGCGTACTCGTGGGACATAAATAATGAGGAGCCGATGTGACCCCATATTGTCATCCAAGGGGGCACATAACGTTAGGCGATTTATCATTTGGTCAGGACCCGCAGCATCAATAGGTGTACCCAAATGACACTCGTAGAAAATGCGAGAAAGTGGAACCCCTGGAGGCAGACTGCAGACGACATACAGAGAAAGTCCTGCCCAGTTCTCATTGTTGTGCAGATTTAGAGGAAGATCTAAGTTTATGGTGCACGCAAGCGAACTGCTATGTTCACTAAACCACTCTAATCTTTTTCGTAGACAAAAAATAAAACCATAATCATGCAGATGCGGAAGGCCCCGTTGTAATCCCTACACAAACATATATATGGTACTCATGATATCAGTAATTAAGTCGTCAGTTTTTGTGTGTATGTGCGTGAGAGAAATAGAGATAGAGAGACATATGGTACCTCAAATAGTTTTTCAAGTAATAATGACACCAAGTTTATTCTCAATTCATCCACAATCCAGGTTGAAGTAGTAGTTTCCTGTTCTTGTACTTCTTCTTGTACAATTTGTACCCTTTTCCTCGAAAAAGCACTCACAATCTGGGTTGAAGTAGTAGTTTCATCCTTAGCAGAACCAGTTTCTGGTCGGAAATCTAAAGGCTTGAAAGGAGGACAAACATCTTCCACAGAGCTGTGCTCGCTGGATTTGGCTGCTACAACCAGATTCGTTAGCAAACTTGTAGCTCCCAAACTAATTCCATCATATTTCTTGGTATCTGTAAAATCACCAGTTTCGTAGTAAATAGGCCGACTCGTTAATGTGGTGCAATGGGTAATTGTTTGGATTAAGCCTATCAAATCTTGGTTGTAAACTAGATGCATCCCACACATTTCAACCTGCACACCAGGAGTTCTACATCCAAACAAAGCTTGAATGAAGTGACACTGATTCAAACGTTCTGGAAAGCATACTCGTGGTACATGAATAATGAGGAGCCGATGTGACCTGTGGGGACCAAATCTAACCTAACCCATATGCCACAACTAAAGGACGTGGGATGAGCAAACTTCCCTCCCATTAGAGGAGTGCGGAACAAGGGAGACTCAAATTGCTCGTCTAATCCCATTACCACGAAGTGGAGGACGGGACGCGCAAAGCTAAGGAAGTGGGGCTAAACCCACGAACTCGGAGTGCTATAAAAATCCAACTAGACCTCCAGCAAAGGTAGGTGAAATTGAACCGAACACTAAGAGTACG